GGGATGCACCCACATGGCCAGGAGAGGGCCAGGGCTGGTGTGGGGTATCTGTGTGCAGGAGGGACCTGCAGGGGCCCCAGCCCCCCAGAAAGCAGCAAGAAGGCTTTGGAGTCCCCCAGATCTGGCCGAGAATCCATGCTCTGTCTTCCGCAGCTGCTAGCTCTGCCTCTGGGCAAGTCATTTACTATCTGGAAAGTGAGAATGAACACAACCTCTGTTACAGGGTTTTTGATGGCTCTGGGTCCCCTCCCAGACATGCCAGCTCCTGGGACACACTTGGCTCTGCTGGGGAACCGGCAGTGGAGAATTCCCTTCTTAGGAGGGTCTTGGACTGTTAGGGGGAACCGTGATGGAGGTGCCGGCCACGTTTCCACGCCAGGTCCTGCCTCAGTTTCCTCCTTGGTGGGTAGGGATTGAGCAGGGCTCTGCTGCTCAGAGGTGGACCTCCGAGAACAGTGAGGAAATCTGGCAAAACATAAAAACTACGAAATGTTCCTGTATTTCCTCTGTGGCTTCAGCCGACTCTGAGCCTGGAGGACATTTTTAGCTTTTGTTTTTCAATTCCTGTCTTCTCTATCTGGCCCCAGAGTGAGGATTCAGTACAATAACCCGTGATGGTGTTTTGAAAAGTATCTGGGGCTGGAGGTTACAAGGGAGGGGCATTATTACTATTTCTCTGCAGAGATTTGCTCTGGGGTTGGGGGCACACAGGCGGTGGAGCCCCTTTCTCCCCACGCCTAGGGGGCCCCCAGGAGCCAGGTTTTCTGGCTTCCAACCCCCAGCCCATCTCTGTGAGCTTCCTTGCAGAAAAACAGAAAGTGAAAGTGGCCAGTGGCATAGTGAGCCCTGGGGAGTACGCAGCTGCCACTGTTTTCATCTTCTGTCCTGACTCAACCTCCCTGCATAGTAGGCGTAGGCGGGAGGAGGGAAGGCAGGGCCTGGCAGCCAGAGGTTGTCCCCCGTGGGATGGGTCAGAGTCAGAGTGGCGGCTCCTGGGTCAGGACGCTGCCTCCCTCTGTGGGCTCCCAGAAGGGCTGCCCAGTGGTGTCACTGGGAGGCCCAAGGTGTAAGTGGAAGAAAGTGAAAGGGACAAGGCACTAGCATCACCCAACTGCCAGCAAAACACAGAGCTGGAGCTAACCTCAGCCAGGCCCCCTGCCAGGTGCTTTATTCATCTGGTAATACTTTGGGGTGCTTCAAAATCACAAGCCTGTGCCCCTGGCCCAACCCCATTCATCCAACAAATATTTTTTGAGGGCCCACTGGCCACTAAGCCCAGTCTAGACACCAGGGACACAAACATGGAAACAGATTTTAAAAATCCCTGTCCTGGAGCCAGGACAGTGGTGCACTCCCAGTGCAGTGGTGCACACCTGTGGTCTCAGTTGCTTGGGAGGCTGAGGCAGGAGAATCACTTGAGCCCAGGAGTTTGAGGCCAGCCTGGGCAAACATCTCCCTGTCCTTGTGGACCTTACATTCTGCTGGAAGGAAGAATCAGTAACCAAAATAGGGGGAAATATTTAGTACCTATGATGGGGATTTGTGGAGAAGATGAAGAAGGGGAGGAGGAACAGGGTGCCCAGAGTGGGGATAGGTTTGTAGTTTTAAGAAGAAAGGTTGGGAAGAGCTCGCTGAGAAGGCGGCATTGGTCCTGCTTTATCAACCCTCTTTAATCCTCATCGAAAGGCAGTGATGCAGGTACGGGTATTCTCATCCCTGTTAAGGAGGAGGAAACCGAGGACCAAGTGAAGAGTCCAAGGTCAGACCAAGGCGAAGTAGAAGGATCAGAATGTGAGCTCAGGTTCTGTCTGAGCCTGTAGCCACAGCGCAGCGTTAGACAGAGAGAGGGAATGGAATGAATGGGGAAAAAGAACTAAGAGGGCGCATGGCGAGCCCTGCAATGGCGGCTGTCTGTTTTCTGCACTACAAATCAGGACACGATCCGAAAGGATTTTCCTGTGACTCGCAATGAGAGTGGCCGTCTGGAGAGGCAGTTTGGACACTGGCCTGAAGAGTGGGATTTCTGAGACATTCCAGTGGCTTGTGGGGCCCACGAGGTGGTGCAAGGGCAGGGCATCTTCATGGCAACCCCAGCCTGGCCGCAGGGCCGGGAACTTGGCGCAGAGCCACCTGGCAGAGAAACCACGCTGGGCGTGGACCTGAGACCCAGAGCCAAGGGGGGTTGTGAGCCCCTGAGCAGCCATCCCAGGGGGATGAGGGGATGTGGAAAGGGAAGACAGGTGGCTGTGGCCAGGCCCCCATGTTCTAGGCCAATCCAGGGCGTGGGCTGGCTGGTGCAGGACGCCCCTGGCAGGAGCCTGAGGGGCAGAGTGGGGAGGGAACCCAGCCTTCCCTGTCAGCCAAGTCTGGGTTTGGATGTTCCCTCAGCCACTTCCTGCTGTGCAGCCCTGGGCACGTCACACAACTCCCATGAGCCTGTTTCCTCATCTGTGAGGTGGGGACAACTCACCTCATAGGACAGTTGCAAAGATCCTCATGCACTGAGAGAAGCCATGAACCGGGCTTGGCGCACTGCAGACTCCATAACGATTGCTGCTGTTTCCCTCCACCCAGCAGGGCATTGGGGGCATGCCAAGATGGGGGGCCGCATGAGACGGGAAGAACGGTGGGGCTTGGGAAACAGATGACCCAGTCACCCACCGAGGGCAGTTGCGTGTTCCCAGCCAAGTCCTGCACGTGGGCTGGGGCTTCGTCAGCAGCAAAAGAACAATGCCCTCTCCAAAGAGCAGGCCTGCGGGGCAAGCCCTCCCCAACTGCCCCCAATCTGCAGCCCAGTGCCCTGCTGGACAGTGCTTTCCCGCTCACACCCCTCCAGGCATCCCGGGCAGCTCCAGGGCCCGTGGCACCTTCTGCTCAGGTGAGCAGCCAATGTGCCTTCAGAAGGTGGAACGGACGGATTCTTGCTGGTGATGCCTCCCTTTCTGACCAGCTGCCTGGGCTTTCCTGTAAACTTCATTGCTGTCCCTTTCAGTAAAGAGAAGGAGGACCAGAAGGAAACGCAATGGCTTTTGCGTCCTTCTCACTTCCAGGGGCTGAGCTGTGTCCCTGTGGCCCTGGCCGTGGCAGAGCCAAAGAGAGCTGGAATCCATCCCAGCTTTTACCAATAATTCACCGTGTGACCTTCAACATCCTTTCTGGGCCTCCATGACTCATTTGTAAAGTGAGGGGTTCAGAGGAGATCATCTCTAAAGTCTGATAATGACCTCTAAACGATTGCATTCATGGATTCTTTTTTCTGTTCATTCATTGGCAACACTTATCACTCCCTGATGTAGTGTATTTCTTATTTATTTGCTTACTGTCTGTCTTGGTCCACTCCAGCTCCCTAAGGGCAGGAGTTTTTGCTTGTTTTGTTCTCTCCTATATCCCCGCCACCTACAAAAGAGACAGTAAGAGCCTGTATCTGTCTGTGTCCTGGAAGGAAACAGAAGATTGCATGCGCAAACAGGGTGACGGAGGGGTCAATGAAAGCACAATTTCTAAAGTTACAGAAAGGTAAGGAGAACCGACAAGGAATGGTGACGCATCCCAGGGCTAAAAACAGAGCAGAGGGTGGACGAGAGGGGCAAGGTGAGGACTGCTCAGGCGCTGCAGCCTTAGGTAGAGGAGAGCAGCCACTGACAATCCACACCCAGCCAAGAAGCCAGTGGGAAATAAATACCCAGACCTCTTTTTCCTCCTGCCCTCCAATAGCCTGCTGTCTTATCTCATTGGCTGAATCCAAGTAGAAGCCAAAGAGTGAGAGTGTTGGGTGACACCGCCCTTAGAGGCCAAGGTTAAGGAGAACATGGAAGAGGGAGGACTGTGGATCAGGGCCGGGAGCGTGGACCATTCAGAACAGCACCTGATCAACATGGTTGCATACTGGCCCGGTGCCAGAGTGCTTGCACCATAGACAGACGTGTGACTGTGCAGGTTTATACAGCAAGGTCTCTGCCCACCAGACAGCACAACAGACGTGATGCCTTGGCTGGGTCTTGAGGAGCCCCCTTTCCCTCTGCTTAGGGGTCTCCCATTCATATCTGGCTTTTGGACAAGTCTGATTTGCAAAATTGCACTGAGAAATGGAAATGAGGGAGAGAAGTTGAAGGGAAGCTCTGGGGGAGGGGTGGGGAGAGTGTTTGGAGGGTCTGGGTGGTGGGAGCTGGTTATACAGCCTTGAATCAGCCCTCAGGAAGGTGACCTTGATGCTGTAGTTCAGGCTCTAGAGTCAGAAAGGTTCAGAGCCCGGTCCATTGCTCATTTGCTGTGTGATCTTGGGCCTCTTCCTTGATACCTCTGATCCTCTGTTTTAGCATATATAAAAATAGGGGGATAATAGGACATAGGGATTTTGTGAGGATTAAAGGAGAATCTGTGCAAAGGGCTTAGCATAGGGCCTGGGCACCCGGTGAACACTTTATTATTGTAATTAGAGACCAAAGGCCACCCTCCCCCCTTCCCATTTCTCACCCGACATGGGATCTCCACCCCCTCTCCAGCTCCATTCAGTTCTGAGTGTTTTAGGTCATTCTATGCCTGGCGTTCTGCCAAGGCTCTGACAAAGACAGGAGTTTCTGCTCATTCATCCTAATGCAAGTTCCTGCGTTTATGGTAATAGGGGAAAAATGCATGAAAGGGCTTGCTGCCTGTGGAGGGGAAATCGGCTTAGAATTGACAATCTGAGTCCTTCCTTGGCCCAGCTTCCCCTCCCTGCGCTTTGGCGGAGGCTGCAGAAGGCGGGGGAGCTGGGAGGAGAGCGAGGGGAGGAAGGGGGTGGAGGAGGGGGAAGGAAGAGGGGCAGAAGGGCGGGGTGGGGCGGAGGCGAGGCCCGGCGCGCCGGGTGAGCGGGTTTGGGGTGGCAGAGGGAGCCTGCCAAAAAGGCCAAGTGAAAAGGCCAGGCCCCGGGAGGCGCTGCGAGCGGTTGCCATGGCGACACCAGCTGCTGCCTGGGCTCGGCGCTCGCGCTCGCCGGCTCCGTCTCCGGGCGGGGCCTCGTCTGCCACCTCATGGTTACCCAGCTCCGTAAGGGGAAAAAATCCGAAGAGTCGCCTTGGCCCAGGCATCACCAGGCTGCCACGGCGTTCTAGGCGCCATGCTGCGCTCAGCCGGGGGTGGCGGGAGGCTGGAACGCGGGAGGTCGCTGTGGGAGCCTCTGCAAGCGCAGCGTGGAGGGAGGGCTGCCTTGCCTGACGGCACAGGCTCTCCTGCCTGCAGGCCTTTGGTGGGACATGGGGAGGCCAGATGTGTGCTTGCTGGAGATGGCTGTGCCTGCGGAGGACCCCTGGAGGAGGAGCGAGGCTGTGCTGGGAGAGGCGAGGCCAGGCTGCTGCAGTAACCAGGGGAGGGACGACTGCCTGAGTCGGGGCACCGCAGGAGGTGGGAGGTCAGAGCAATTAAGAGGTACAGGCCACCAGATTTGGTGCGTGGGTGGAAGAAGGGATGATGCAATGGGGAAGTCTAGGGCATCTTCTGCTTGGGCGGCAGATAGATAGTGGAGGCTGTGCCCTCTGAGATGGGGGGATTTTTTTTTTAAGACAGGGCCTTGCTCTGTCGCCGCCCCTGCTAGAGTGCAGTGGGCTCATCGTATCTCACCTGAAACTCCTGGGCTCAAGCGATCCTCCTGCTTCAGCCTCCCAGTAGCTGGGACTACAGGCCCCAGCCACCACGCCCAGCTAATTTTTTCAAATTTTAGTAGAGATGGGGTCTTCCTCTTGCTCAGGCTGGTCTTGAACTCCTGGCTTCAAGCAATCTTCCCACCTCGGCCTCCAAAAGTGCTAGGATTACAGCCTCCAGCCTCCTCACCCAGCCTGAAAATAGGGATTTGAACCAGTGGGTGAGCTGACCAGGAGAGGACTCCTTTGTCCTGTTCTAGTCTAGCTCCGCTGCCCCCAAGTCCCACCCACCCCCACCATGCAAGGACTTGGATCATGATGAGGATGCCCAAGTTTGATGAATCAATAAGTGAAGTGGGAGAAATAAGAAAGTGTTTATCTATATATTTAATATCTTGAAGAAAAAAAAGAGAAAGAGTGTAGAAACAAACAAGAAATAGAGTATGTTCTACCCAAGTACCTACAGATCAGCCCCTAGATGCTTCACCCAAGGACACCATGCTGAGACAAAGACATACCAGCCTCTCACGTGCTGGCACACACTCTTATTGAGCTGTGTCACCTAAATGTGTGATTTGGGGTTTTTTGGTCATCTTAGAGTTCAAATCAGTTTTCACAAATTCATTGTAGTTCTATTTTGTTTTTACTCACTGCAGAGTTGCTCTACAAGCCGTGTTGGGATGGAGTCCTTGTTCCTGCAGCACAAAGCATGTCTGTCTACACGTGAGTGTGTTGGATTGTAGGCGCCCCCTTGTTCTAAGTAAGCAGATCTAGCAGGTGGATATTTAACACAGAGAACCCCTTAGTGTTGACCTTGTTCTCTACTGAAGGAATCTCTGCAGCTTTCCTTTATGCATGTGACAAGCCCAGGGCTCAGTGGACACAGAACTTTACAGGGACACAGCTACCTGTGTCGTTTGTATGGAGAACATACTGGCCAAAGGTACACTTTATTGGAGTCCTCCCACCTACTCTTGTCTTCCTACCCATCACATGCTTGCTACCTGGTGATGAAATTGGGAGAGGAGGAGGAGGGAGGAGTCCATGCACACAGCCAGGCCTGCTCTGTGTCCATAATCCTCAGACCTCCCTGACTTCTAGCAGACTACCTCACCCAAACTGGCCTCCCAAGACCCTTACTGCCACCCTGTAACTGTTGTTTACTTTTTATAATAAAATGCTTATTGGGTGAGGGTGAGGTCATTGAAACAGGAATTTGGTTGCCATTGCTCACCTCTAGAGTTTCAGTCCCTGCAACAGCTTTTGGCTACCAGGAAGTACTCCCTTCTTGCTAGAAGAATGAATAAGTGGGCCGGGCGCGGTGGCTCACGCCTGTAATCCTAGCACTCTGGGAGGCCGAGGCGGGCGGATTGCTCGAGGTCAGGAGTTTGAAACCAGCATGAGCAAGAGCGAAACCCCGTCTCTACTATAAATAGAAAGAAATTAATTGGCCAACTAATACATATAGAAAAAATTAGCCGGGCATGGTGGCGCATGCCTGTAGTCCCAGGTAGCTGTGTGGCCTGTAAAAGTTCTGTGTGCCATGAGCCTGGCTTGTCACATGCATAAAGGAGAAGCTGCAGAGATTCCTTCACTAGAGAACAAGGTCAACACTAAGGGTTCTCGTGTTAAATATCCACGCTGCTAATCTCTTAGCTTAGAACCACTTGGGGCGGCCCTACATCCACCCACACTCCGTGCTAACAAGACATGCTTTGTGCTGCAGGAAAAGGATCCATCCAACACGGCTTGTAGAGCAACTCTGCAGTGAGTAAAAATTAAAAGTAGAACTACTTGGAATTTGTGAAACTGATTTTGAACTCTAAGATGACAAAAAACCCCAAATCGAACATTTGAGGCTGACCAAGCGTCAATAAAGTGTGTGCCAGCACGTGAGAGGCTGGTATGTTCTTTGTCTCAGCATGGGTCCTTGGGTGGAAGCGTCTAGGGCTGATCTGTAGGTACTATGGTAACATACTCTATTTCTTGTTTTTTACACTGTTTCTCTTTTTCGTCAAGGATATTAAATATATGATACACTTTCTATTTCTCCCACTTCACTTATTGATTATCAAACA